GAAAGCCAGTACAGTTCATCTAGTGATGAAAGCCAGTACAGTTCATCTAGTGATGAAAGCCAGTACAGTTCATCTAGTGATGAAAGCCAGTACAGTTCATCTAGTGATGACAGTCAGTACAGTTCATCTAGTGATGAAAGCCAGTACAGTTCTCTAGTGATGACAGCAAGTACCGTTCATCTACTGATGACAGCCAGTACCGTTCATCTAGTGATGACAGTCAGTACAGTTCATCTAGTGATGACAGCCAGTACAGTTCATCTAGTGATGACAGTCAGTACAGTTCATCTAGTGATGACAGCCAGTATACTTCATTTGGTCAGGACAGCCGTGTTGGCAGCAATGATTCAAACGTGACAGTGAGTTCAGTCCATGACACTCCTTGACTACAAACATGGCAGTTAGTAAAAATAGTGTAGCAGTGACAGCCTTCGCTTGGGTCCCACAGGCATGACAGTCAGTGTAGCTCCCTTGGGCATAGATACCAATATCAATCATGCAGACAATTACAGCCACTGTAGCTTTCATCGAGCTGTAATCCAGTACATATTCGAGCAAAAGTCAGTAAAGGTCGTCCCGTCACGACAATTAGTTGAGGACTTGAAGGCACGGTGGCCAACAGCAGTCCTGCAGCAAAAGCATCTAATGGATGATGTATCGAATCACGAACAGCAAGGTTAAGACCGAGTGATATAGACATGCTTACAACTTGTACGAATATCGCAAGTCATCGTACAGCGGTGGCGTATTTACCGACACGCAAGCCCCCGCAAACAACATCGCTTCTGCTGCTTAATATACACTGGCGCGCGCACACAGCGAATGTCAACGAACGGTGCCCACGCCTCGTCTGCGCGCAGACGATCCACACGCTCACGTAGAACAAGAGCGCGATTGATATGCAGGATGCCCGCGTGCGGGAAAATGACACAGGCCGCGAGCGGCGGTCACCTCCGATGCCGTGGGGGGATTAGGTCTAATGTGATTACACACGCTGCTGATTCACGTCGGCCGCCGAATAAGAGGATGCCGCGAGTGTCCGCATTAATTTCATTCCTCGGCAATCTGTGCCACAACATTTGGCAATTATGTGCAAAACACGGCTCAGACTCAGATCGGCGAAGACGGTCATTACCGTGTAACAATAGGACGGCGGTCAGCTCTCACGTCATCGGGGGGGCACAGGCGACGACACTCACCTAAGCGCGTAATTGGTAACACGCGGATCGTTCCGCAGGACTATTACTGTGAGTGATCGCTCTCGTTTATACGTTGATACGCTACAACGGATACGACTACTTGACAACGGTACAGGGCGCGACAACGGTACACGGCGCGACAACGGTACACGGCGCGACAACGGTACACGGCGCGACAACGGTACACCGTACGACAAAGCTAAACTGCACGACAACGGTACACGGCGCGACAACGGTACACCGTACGACAAAGCTAAACTGCACGACAACGGTACACGGCGCGACAACGGTACACGGCGCGACAACGGTGCACCGTACGACAAAGCTACACGGCGCGACAACGGT